TTAGGTAATTCGTGTTTACACATTTTCTAGGCACTACAAATAAATGTTGTTTTATACAAATAAACTACTGGAACAAAATACTGCCTGATAAATACAATAAAGTAAATAAAATTAAATCATCTTGTACTTTTCTAATATGAAATAAGTAAATAAATTATTATATTATATTATGAGTTTATTATAATTATATTACTTAATGACTTATATTATAATTAACCTATTATTGGTCAGCGTTCTTTTTATAGATCACTGAAAATTTTATATTTTTCAACCCTCAAAATTTATTTAAATTTAAAGAAAAAATTCCCATAGATATTTTAAACTGTAGTAAATTAAATTATAATTTTTGTTATGGGATATTTTCAATATCATTTTAATAAAAAAAATATAAACATCAGACAAATTTGCTGACCTGCTTTAAATTTGCAAACAGTGGATCATTGTTTGTCTACTATATGTTGTTTTTGTTTTATATTTTGTGGGTTTATAAGTTAAACAATATTGTACTAATTAAACTTATATTTTTTTACAATCTTATCAATATCAAAACATGTCAATCTGTCAGGTAGGTTGATTGTTGAACGAGAGATATGTCATGTGTATGTAACGTAGCCCCCTGCTACACTGTTACACAGCTATATATTATATTAAACAGTTTTACAGGGGCCGATCAACAGTTTAACAACTTGTTTTACACATTGTCCATTGAAACGTAAAATTGCGTCATTGAGATCTACACTATTTCTCTTTTTGTCAATTGTTATCACATAAGCAGTCATAAATGACTGTTTTTGTGGCCAATCGATTTTCCAAAATTGATCAAAACTGGCACGTCTGCTATTTAAGAAAAAGAGAACATGTTCTAAGGTTTGATCTTTAACGTAAGGTACTGTTGCAAGTTATCTTCATTTTTCGAGCTGATTACTGGGTGTTTTGATCCAACTTTTAATTATCACCCATTGCAAATCCAAGGTATGGTCTGCCTTCCATTAATGATATTTCAGCTGATTGTTTGAGTCTTAGTGAGCACTGGCTTTTACCTGATGAGCTACATACTGTCAATATTAAAGGATATCGTATGGTTTCTGGATTTTGCAGGACGGTCAAGTCTCATGGAGGTGTAGGTATATATATTAGGAATAATGTAAGTTTTAATCATTTGAATCTTGAAAATCTCTCTGCTGAACAGCATTGTGAGATTACAGGTATTTTATTAAATAAATCTAATGTGCAGCATATTACTGTCTATCGTACTCCTAATGGTGATTTAGACAAATTCTTTACCATTATGGCTAAAACTCTTAAAAAAATTAATGTTCATAAACCTGTTATAGTTACGGATGACTTTAATGTTCATTTTAATGAAACAGATATCAGAGCTTTAAAACTCTGTATTTTTTTAGATCTTACAATATTACAAAAAGAGTTAAATTTAATACTCGAGGTAATAACTTGATAATGTTTTCGCAAATATTGATGGTACCACAAAACGTGTGGATCTCACTCACACATCTGAACACAGAGGTATTTCCTTTCAGATCGCTAACTCATCCACAAATTGTGCAACCAGAGTTTGTTATAGACCTATCACAGATGAAGGACTCTTCATTGATTCTGAACCAGATTTTGCTAAATTGCAACTTTAATTTTGTATACAATGATAATTTGGATATTAATTTAAAATTTAAAATGCTAATTGATGTGTTATTAAATTCCATAAATATCTCTTTTCCAGAAAAATAAAAATAATCCAGATAAAAAATAAACTGGTTCAATGACACATTGAGAAAAATGCGCGAGAGACTTCAATTTATTATAACACTAAATAGAAACAATCCCATTGCTGCACTTAGAAGTACCATTATCAAACTTAGAGAAGAGTACAGGGAAGCCATCAAGTTTACAAAAATTAATGTAAATGATAGGTTTATAAAAAATTCTGACAACTCTTAACAAGCGATATGGAACTTCTGCTGAACTGCTGAGGGAGTAATAAATGAAGTTAAGGTTCCTCAGCTAACTCTTGATGACTATTTAAAGTGTATACCACAGAAAAATATCTCGTGTTTTGCTTTTCAGCCAGTGAACTATAGTGAAGTTGACTTAGCTATTACAGAAATAAAAAATAGTAACAGCAAAGATCCTGATGGATTTAACACAAAAATTATTAAAACAATTAAAGATATGATTGTTCAACCTATAACAACTTTAATAAATCAATCAATATCTTGTAATACTTATCCTCAAGTTTTCAAAACTGCAAAGGTAGTACCTCTATTTAAGAATAAAGGCTCTATTGATGATTATAACAATTATCGACCCACTTCTTCGTTGCCCATCTTATCAAAAGTTTATGAACGAATTTAAAAAATCAAATTAATCTACATTTGGAATCTAATAAACTGTTTCCCATAAACCGGTACGGATTCTGAAAAAATAAAACAACAACTTTAGCTATTGATCATTTTACTAGCAATGTTTTGGAAGGGTTTGAGAAATATCTTGATACTCTTGCATCATTTTTAGATCTTACTAAGGCTTTCGATTTTGTCACACATAGTATTCTGCTTAGAAAACTTCCTTATTATAATTTTCATAGTGATTCTATTCAACTAATTGATTCATATCTATCAAATTGTGATCAATATGTTCACTTCAACCATTGTGATTCTCAAAAACAATCTCTGTTGTTTGGTGTCCCTCAAGGCTCGGTTTTGGGTCCAGTATTATTTCTTATTTATATTAGTGATCTATTGTACTCTCAAAATGAAACAGTTAACACTGTTTTATTTGCTACTACTTTCTATGCAAACTATCACCGTTCGACGGCAATTCGACACCCTTGATTACCCAATATGTAACCGAAGCGAAGTTTCTGGAGATATATTTGGGTGCAGGATTAACCTGGGAACAGCATATAGTTAATCTATCGAAAAAGCTTTCCCGACAACTTTTTCTCTTCAGGAGGCTTGTACAGGTGACTTCCAGGGAAACTATTTTAACAGCTTATCGTAGTAATTTTCATTCTTATCTGACATATGCTATTCTCTCCTGAGGTCACTCTTGTCATATTGATTTTAAGTGTTTGCACAACTAAGAAAGTGTGTTCGTCTTATAAAGAGGGCTGGGTCTGAATAGATCGTAGCGTGGAAACTGCTCTACCAGTTACAACACTCTGACAGGTACGTAAGTCGTCTACAGACAATTCCGAGTTCCAACATGGAAAAGATTATAATACCCATGTTCGTCCGTCTAAAGATCTGATCTACTGGCAAGGATCGATCCCACCGTAAACCGATAACATCAACGGAAATAAGGGCTCGTGCGACAATCGTAGCGGACTACGATTGCCTCGTAAAGTCACATTGTTTTGAGCCTTTCAACTCTCGGAACTCCAAGAGATATCGTTGCCACCTATGACTAGAAAGGATACGGCCTTAGAGGTGTTCAGGCATAATCCCACGGATGGTACCTTCGCACCATTACTCGCTCGAGTAAGTGCGTCAACCAAATGTCCGAACCTGCGGTTCCTATTGTACTAAGCAGGATTACTATCGCAACGACGAATCATCAGTAGAGTAACTAACCAGTCTCACGACGGTCTAAACCCAGCTCACGTTCCCTGTCTATGGGTGAACAATCCAACGCTTGGCGAATTCTGCTTCGCAATGATAGGAAGGACCGACATCGAAGGATCAAAAAGTGACGTCGCTGTGGACGCTTCACCGCCACAAGCCAGTTATCCCTGTGGTAACTTTTCTGACACCTCTTGCTGAAAACTCTTTAAGCTAAAAGGATAGGCCGTGCTTTCACAGTCCCTATGCATACTGAACATCAAGATCAAGCTTTTGCCCTTTTGTTCTACGCGAGGTTTCTGTCCTAGCTGAGCTGTCCTTAGGATACCTGCGTTATTCTTTGACAGATGTACAGCCCCAGTGTCAGCCTGGCAGTGTCCTCGAATCGAATCAGGCTGGAGGTAAGTTGACGCTCGAAACGAAGCACACAAACGCTAGCCAGGCATCCGAAAGGCGAGCCTTATCGGAACCACAAAACCGACGAACGGCACAACGGAACGAAACTTCATTTCGTGCCCTTGTATATACCGTGACAATCGCCGCCTCGTCAGTGAACGACGCACGCGTTCCGCCTTACCGAGTAAGTAAAGAGACGATGAAAAACGGCTCTGTTGTAGAGCAGACTGTAGAAACTCCTTTAGAGTTTTAAAAATTTTAACTTTATCTTTTGTATACATTATGCAGTGTCTGTTGCACATTAAACAAAATCTTAGCCAATACAATGCGCATGTAGATTTTCACAATTATCCCACCAGATTTAACAATAATCGTATACCAGAATTTAGCCGTATTGAGAGATCCAGAAATTGCTCAAGGTATTAAGCCATAAAATTCTACAACTTAGTGCCAGCTAGAATAAAAGCTCTTAATATTCATCAGTTTAAGACAAAAATTAAGAGTTACCTTATAGTGAATACCTTTTTTGCATATGAGAAGTATGTAGTTTTGTATTCATTTATTACCAATAAACCATCTATCTATCTATCTATCTATCTATATATCTATCTATCTATCTATTTATCTATCTATCTATCTATCTATCTATCTATCTATCTATCTATCTATCTATCTATATATCTATCTATCTATCTATCTATCTATCTATCTATCTATCTATCTATCTATCTATCTATCTATCTATCTATCTATCTATCTATCTATCCATCCATTCTTAATTGTTTATTAACATTAGGTTTCCACTGAGAGACACCAGCCCGTCATTTATAATATCTTTTGTTATCCTAAAATAGTGAAAATATGTAATTAATAAATGCAGCAGAACTGCAAAGATTGTAGTGGTATATATTAGATAATAATGAAAACGGGACATTTTCTTATAAATATTAAATAAAAATTTCGTTTTGTCAAAATTATCCTTAATTGATTGACTGGACTTTAAATATCTTAATTGTTTTAATATTTTAGACTTTTATCTTTTTGGGTGTAACCATCGCTCTATGGTTTTACTTTTGTCTTTGGATCGAAAGCTCAGGAACACTAACGGAAACTCGAGCAAATGTATTCTATTACAAGAAAGATGGTTGGATGAAGTTTACAAGATGGTACAACTTTTTTGGCATGCTGTGGATGGCTCAGTTTATTATAGGTTGTCAGCATATGGTCATAGCTGGAGCTGTTAGCATATGGTACTTCAAAAGGTAAGCTAAAGTTAGGACAGAAAAAATATTTTATATAAAATATTTAATAAAATTTTTCTGATTTTAAATTAAAATTTAGGTAATTATAAAGGAGTTTAACCCAGCTGTTATTTTCAACGATGTTGAAAACAATCTTTATAATATCTTTTGTCACAGACACAATGATGAACACTCAAAATAAATTAAATTTCAAAAATTACGAGTGAATACAAAATATTTGGGCCAAAATAAGATTAAAATAACCGAATTGATGGATCATCTAACATTAAAACCTAATATTTTGCTGTTTGTCAGAAGTAACAAAGTTGTTTCAAAACTGAATTTTTTTAAAATACATTTCATTTTTGAAATACTCTGTTAACTTACTTCATTACAAAACAATTACTGAAGAAAGATACAATAGTAGCGCTGCACTGTCTAAAATAATCATACAAGGGGCGAAGTGCAAAAAAAAACTCACACCATTGTAGAAAAACCAACTTCACCTGCTGCTCTCGACATGATGAAGAGAGCATGAGAGTATTGTCAGAGTGAAGAAATTAAGCATATTAAGATTATGAACAGGTGTGCCAAGGGACAATGTACAAGTAGAACGTGTCAATAGGAAATTAATTCCAATTTCCAATATAACCAAATTTAGTATGGAGGAACCGATGAAGTGGTATAAGCATATTTATAAGTTCCTGATATACGGATATTGCAGGTTAACGTGGGCAGAGCCCGTCGAGCGTACGAATTTGTCCACGTAAAAGCCTTCAAGCTAGAAACAGATCTGCTCATCGTCCCGGAACCAAACTAAAAGATCAAGTCATCCGGTGGTTGGTTCCAGGATAACGGGAAAACGTAGCATTGCTCTTTAGAAATAGGAGTTTGGGTGTGCGTAGTATTGTCAGAGGAGGAAATCATATTCTCATCAAACTTAGGGATTTCAGCCTCCATGCATGCTACGTGTCCCTAAATATCTACACCCTATGATAAGATACAAAGTAATTGTAGACGAACTAATGAGCGCAGTCACGAACGAAAAAGAAGTGCTGATCGCCGGGGACATCAACACGAAATCGAGGTTGTGGGGTTCCCTTATAAACGACAAAAAGGGGAAACTATGGAACGATTGGATAGAGCTGGCCACCACCAGGTATTAAACAATAACAAGCCAACTTTCGTAAGGGTGGCCAGCCGAATACACATCGATATTACGTTCGCGAGTGAAGGGCTATCCAGGACAGTGCACGGGTGGAATGTCCTTGACGATCAGTTATTCACCTACCACCGGTATATACAATATGAAATAAAAATTAAAGGGGGAATAAGGCGACCGATAGGACACATGGAAATTGAGAGAAGCAATAGAAAGTGCACTAAAGTTGGCCACCGTGAAGAGAAAGAATAATAAAAAATCCCACTATTGGTGTACATATGAAATAGAAGGTATGGGAGAGATACCTCAGCGCCGAAGGAATTATACAAGAAGCCAGGGCAGCCTCGAGCTCAAAGAAATATATACAGATCTAAAGAAAACGTTAAACAAAAAAATAAAACAGGAGAAAAAGAAAAGTGGCAGACCGTGATAAAAGCATTGAACGAGGATATATGGAGCGATGCGTACAAGATAACCATGAAGACGCTTAAGATAATCGCCTCATATAGACTCGACGTAGACCAGCGGATGGAATCAGTCTAACTCTTTTTCCTACCAAGTTTCCTACCAAGAAGAAATAAGAACCGCTGGTCAGGAGATGAAGACAGGGATAGCTCCCGGCCCCGACGGGCTACCAACAGAGGCAATAAAAATAATAGCAACGGAGAAACTACAGGTGAATTGATACGTCTCAAGCGGCGTAAATGATTTAAGTAAGGTTACAAATTACGGTGGCTTTAATCAGCACATCAATAATCAAATGAATGTAGGTACAGATAATACATCGGTTAATCCTCACACTAAACTAGACTAGAATGGAATAGACTTAACTGAATGGATGGAGCAAGAAAGACGGAAAATAGAATTGACTCAGTGTCATCAAATAAAAATACACTTACCACCATTTGATGAAGACAACCGCATGCAACAGGCCGAAGAGTGCCACTGGAAAAAGGTACTTAATTGACAAGTCTGGTGTAGTTTTTTCTATCTTTTCTACTTTCTCTCGACAGGAAAGATTATTTCATAGAAAACCAACATCTCCGCTTTTCTTAGAAAGTAGGCTGGATTGTTCGACAATATAAACAGACTTCTTTGTTACGAGGAAGGGTTTCTCTATTTAACAAATGAAAGATAATAAGAGCAAGGACGACGTACTGCGAGCTATTTCTTTGTTGCGAATAGGCATGACAAATCGCTCATTGCTTATGGGTTATTTTTTAATCGGAAAGTAATTTTCTAAGAAGAATAATTTAAGGAAATTTTAAACATGTTTCACTTTTTATAGTATATATATATATATATATATATTATATATATATATATATATATATATATATATATATATATATATAATATATATATATATATATATATATATAATATATTGTTATGATTGTTTAATTTTGACTTTGATCTTAGTTTATTGAGCCAAAAAGAAGGATAATAATAAAAGAAAATATTATATTACAAAAAAAATTTATAACGTTTCTTTATTTTATATAAACGTATAAAACAATTATCAAATTCTGCCGTTATCTTATCAATCAGAATACAAGAAAATAAATGAAATTTTTATAATAATAGGATTTTAAAACTACATACATTTATATTACGTGAAAACCAATTTTACTTCAATTTTTCTTTACTTGAAACAAGAAACAACAAAACTTTAAACTTTTGATTAGTCTAAACAAAACTCAGTTCTTAAATTTGAATGCTAATGACCATGATGTCAACACAGATCCTTCACAGATATTAATTTCAATTGTACAAAAGCACTTACAGCTTTTTTTTACTGAATTGTATGTTGGAACATACCCAGAAAAGTCCAGTCTCCTCAACGATGTGATCTCTCCTTTTTGGCACCTCGGCTCCTTCCCAACGTCTCTGCAAATCTCCTTCACTAACCAAAAACACCTGATTCACTTCTCCAAAAACTCAGCTACTTATTAGTGACACAAGGACTTCCTTTTGTCAACTTGATGCCGAAAAACTACTTTAACCTATTTTCACAAAATGCCCACGGTAGATACAAGAACCTCATTTAATCTACTTGTTATCTCATTCTGCAAAACTATTCAATTCTTTTCACAATGCCGGTATCCAACTCACGAACCACACCCTATCTTGAGACCAACGACTGTTTCCTTCGATGAACAAATTATAACTAACTTCTCCGGTAATCCTGATCGGCTCACAAATTCCCATTCCAAAAACGACCGTCCAATCTAAAGCTCAAATTGTGTTTTTCATGATTTTGGAAAAGCCTAATTTCTGTTTCAGAGAAAAACTAAATAGCTTACTTTAAAATTGGTTTTGTCAATACCCAATTTATACATATTTCAAAAGATTAGAATATGGTCATTTAATACTCGATTATACAAACAATGAAAAGATTAACTTATAGGTAAAATATCTTCTAATTCTAAACAAAGAGGTTTTTCTGATAATTTTGTTGGAAACGGAAAAGGTCGTTTGACAAACAAATTTCTCTTCTTATCTACACTAAATTATCTTACACTTCTTTTTATTTAATTATCTTTGGTTGGGAAAGAAGAAACATGACAATATATATACATATATATATATATATATATATATATATATATATATATATATATATATATATATATATTATATATATATATGCTCTTATAACTTAATATTTTAAGGAACACCTACACTATAAATAAAATTATTTAATTTTTAGGAATAAGGCATCTCTGGGAACACCATTTTTATAGAAAGCGCACAAAATTTGATAAGATACCATTTGGGATCAGTGGCATTAGGTTCATTCCTTATAGCAACAGTACAATTTATGCGTGTGATATTAAAAATGGTTGAAAAATATTTAAATAAAAAACAAGGGAAGTGTATAGACTGTCTATTAAAATGTTGTCATTGTTGTCTATATTGTTTTGAGAAAATTTTAAAGTACTTATCAAGAAATGCTTATATCGAAGTAGGTAAGTAGTTCAAGACCTTTACCAAAAGATTATACTTTTTATATACTTTTTAATTAACCCTGAAGATTTATTTAGTACAATTTAAGAATGATTTCCAAATTGCAACTTTAGTTTTGTGAACGGAATATAATTACAGGATCCAACTTGTAAATACAATACATTTTAGATACGCTATCGCCATATTTCCGTTCTCCTTCGGCAATCCTCCCCGTCCATGGCATGCTCCTCCTCCAAATTTCTTGATTCCATTGCTCTTCTAATTCCTTCATTCTATGAGCGTCCACGTCTACTTCCATTTCTTCTACCAGGGGACTTCCATCTGTGAAGTTTTTGAGGCCATTATTATATAGTCTATGATCGACTTCTGTTGGAGTGAAGGTCATTTTTAAGTGTATTTATGAATATCTTTATGTTGGAATTGGGTAATTATTATTTTTAAACCAAAAAGTTGACAGAACTCAATTAAGCTATACCCTGAATCATTTTTAGCTATTTCTCCATGCCGTCCCAACACGTCATCGTCCATTTGAGAACCTACTCTGGCATTTAGGTCTCCCAACAGTATTATTTCTTGATGACTTTTTATTTGATCACAAATGCTTGATAACTCTTTATAAAAGGATTTGAATCGTCGGTTGTCGCATAGACTCCAACAACTATTGTTTCGATGCCATACAATGTGACAGTTATTGTCAGAATTCTTTTAGATATGTATGCATCGTCTTTTATATATTTTTTTAAAAGTTTTTTTTTATAAGAATTGAGACCCCTGATTTAGCTTGTACGTGTTTCTCTACTCCTGATATATGAATGTAGTCTTTAATCCTTTAGTTTTCTTCCATTACACATTAAATAAATTAAACACATAAAATGAATTAAAATTAATTATAAAAGAAAAGATACACATCAAAATACTACATCAAAATGACAACCAACTAGCTCAATCAAAACCCGTGGAATCGAATCTACCTAAATAGAATATTGATGCACTGCAAAACGACTCGACATCATTCTTATATAAGCTGCGACTTAGCCAAAAATTGGCAAACCTGATCTACTCCTCAGCCCAGAATACCTATAAAAAGATAATCAATAAAATCAATGAAGCAGCTTACGAAGCGCTCGGCACAATCCAAAAGAACAAAAAGATTACTCCATTGTGGTGGACAAATGACATCGCCAATGCAGTACACAACAAGAAACAAGCATATCAAAAGTGGCTGCAAACAAATGATCCAGATGATAGACGAACATATGCAAGATCAAACAGAGAAGTGAAAAATTTAGTAACTAAAGCAAAAAATATTTCCTGGGAAAGTAAATGCGAAGAACTCAACAAATATATAGGTGCAATAAGATCAAGAGAAGCATGGAAAACGGTAAAAAATCTGAGAACAAACAGAAAAGAAACGAGTAGAATAGACGTAATAAAAGAAGAATCTTGGATCGAACACTACTCACAACTTTTGACTGAAACAAGACCTCAATTCACGAATATCAGCACAACAACATATGAACTGGAATTCAGTGAAGACGATGAAATAACAGTACAGGAAGTCGAGAATGCAATACGAACTCTAAAAAATCGGAAGTCATGCGGACCACAAGGTATACCAAATGAATTATTAAAACATAGCCCACAAGTCTTTCGGGAATTACTGGCGTATGTCTTCACCCTATTCTATAATGGACACGACTTACCACCGGAGTGGACAAAAGCACATATTAACAACATATACAAAAAAGGAGATAGAGAGAATTGTTTAAACTACAGGGGACTAAGTGTCATAAATTCACTCTCAAGACTGTATGGAAAAATAATAAAAAATAAAATTGAAAAAGAGATGACAGATGTAGAAGAACAGAATGGCTTTCGTGCAGGCAGGTCCTGCATGGACAGTATATTCTCTCTAAAGCAAGTTATCGAGAAAAGTTTAGCCCACAACCTTTCAACTCATATAGTCTTTATAGATCTGACAAAGGCATACGATAGTGTACCACTTTCAATGCTTTGGGTAGCAATGGAAAAACAAGGAATAAGCAAAAAAAAAATATACAAGCTGTATAACAGCTCTACAAAAATATTACGGCAAACATTAAAACTAGAAATAGATTAACTAGAGAAATTCCTATTAGTAAGGGCCTAAAGCAAGGCTGCTGTATAGCACCTACACTCTTCAAAATATATCTAAATGAGGCACTCTCACTGTGGAGAAGAAAGTGCTGCAATATGGCATCCCAATCGTGGATGATAGATTGTACACGATACACTTCGCTGACGACCAAGCCATTCTAGCTGAAGACGAGAGTGATATAAGCTACACGCTTAGAAAACTGGAACATGAGTACAACAAATGGGGCCTCACAATTAATATACAAAAAACTGAGTACTTAGTTGCAGGAGAAAATTCAGAAAGCCTACAAATCGAAATGGGAACTATAAAACAATATAAGACAATTTTAAGTACTTGGGAGTCCAAATAACATCAAAAGCAGGAAGTAGCGAAGAAATATATTACAGGATTGGCCAAGCAAGGTCAGCCACCAGACAGCTACACTGACTATTATGGAATAAAAAAATAACAAAAGAGAATAAAAGAAGAATTTATAAAACAATAGTAGAAAGTATTGGATTGTACGGCGCCGAACTCTGGGAAATAAACTAAAGAAACAAATCAAAAATTAAGGCCATGGAAATGAACTACTGGAAACGATGTTGCCAGCTCACTAAATTTGATAGGGTAAGAAACGAAGATATTCGGAGAGAAATGGAAATCGATCTAGACATAATAGACACAATCGAAGCCAAACGACTTAACTGGTATGGACACCTTCAGAGAATGCCGGAAAACAGATGGCCAAAAAAATATAAGAATGGACTCCGCCAAATAGAAGAAAACGAGGTAGACCAAGACGATCCTGGAGAGACGATGTCGACGATGCAATGACTGCCAGAGATCTAACAACTGAAGATTGCTTCGACAGAAAACGCTGGAAATTAGGATGCGAGAAGCGGCGCCAGCTGTAGAAGACTCGCTTGTTATATATATATATATATATATATATATATATATATATATATATATATATATATATAATATATATATATATATATATATATATATATATATATATATATATATATATAAGAAAATGATAAAAAATAGTATGAGTACTATATGTATGTTATTCGTTTTTAGCTATTTTTGGATATCCATTTTGTCGAGCAGGTCAACAAGCTTTTAAGCTTCTTTCTTCCAATGTTCTACGTGTAGCTGCGATCAATTCAGTTGGAGATTTTGTTCTCTTCCTTGGAAAAGTAGTAGTTGTAATAGCTACTGTCTTGATTGGAATACGAATGCTTGAGGTATGTATAGAATATGTTTCTATAATAAAAAACTAATGTAGACTAAGGACTATATCATCAAATTATATTTACAAATCACAAAACTTTGTCATTTCTAAATAGAGTACAAAAAGAACAGAGGCAAAAATACTTTAGAAAATTAGTTTTAAAATTGAGGTGTGTCTAAAAGCTAGTTTGATACCGTTATCAAGTGAATTTAAAAATATTTACGTAAATTACGTATACATAGAAAGTTTACCATTTATAAATACAATTCAAAAAGTACTTACATTAAAAAAAAACTACATGGATAAGTCAGTTTCACTACCACTGTCGTTATCTTTTTCTTCTTCTTCTTCCTTCTTTATAAACAGGCTTAATGCCTGTTTTACTTCGGTTTTAGCCTCACTTGACGTTGTCTGACCATCTTTTTCTCGGCCGTCCCAATGATCTTCTTCCATTTGGCGATTTCTCTCTTGCTATTCGTACTATTCTATTTTCTGTCATTCTTTCGATGTGTTGATTCCATTCCACTTTTCCTCTTTTGGTCCACGCGTTTATTTCTTCTATACCATATCTCGCTCGTATTTCCTTACTTCTTACTCTGTCTCTTAGAGTTTGGTTTGTTATTTTTCGTAAGACTTTCAATTCTGTTATTTAAAGCAGTCTTTGTGTTTTCGCCGTATCTGCTCTTGTTTCCGATGTGTACGTCATTATCGGTCTTATTGTTGATTTATACATCCTGGTTTTCATTTCCGTTGTGAGGTATTTGTTTCTCCAGATTGTGTTGTTGAGACATCCTGGTGCTCTGTTTGCTATGTTCACTTGTTTTTGTACTTCTTCTTTCACTTTTCCGTAGCTTGACAGTTTTATTCCCAAGTATTCAGTTTCCATCACTTGTTCTATTACTTTGTTATTTACGACTAGTTTACATCGTCTCGGTTCCGATCATGTCACTATCGCTTTAGTTTTCTCTGTTGAGATCACCATGTTGTATATGAGCGCCGTATCTTCGAATTCATTAATTAATCTTTGCAGGTCATCTTCATTTTCGGTTGTTATTATGGCGTCGTCGGCGTAGCATATTATCCTTATTTCCTTTTCTCCCATTCTATATCCTCTTCTTTTTTTAAATTTATGATTTCATCTATTATCAGATTAAATATTAATGGGCTCAGCGAATCTAGTTGTCTAATGCCAGTTTCATATTTGATAGGTTGCGATAGTTTTCCTTTACATCTTACCATAGCTATATTATCTTTATATATAAATATATATATATATATATATATATATATATATATATATATATATATATATATATTCTCAATGGTTTTTACTAAATCCAATGATATTGCCTTTTCATATAATAAATATATCGCGTCCCGAATTCTCACTTTATCAAACGCTTTCTTCAAATTTATCAGACACATATATGCTGGTTTGTTGTATTCCAGCGACTTTTCTTTTATTTGTCTTATTACAAAAACTGCATTCGTGCATGATCTTCCTGTACGAAATCCTTGCTGTTCCTCTTGTAGAGATATTCGTTATTTATTTTTGTCGCTATTATCCTTGTTGTCAATTTGAGTGTTGTATTTAAAAGATTTATTACTCGATAATTATTGGGGTCTTTCTTATCTCCTTTTTTGAAGAAGATCACTATGATCGCTTTCCTCCATTCATCTGGTATTCTGTTTGTGGTGATTATTTTATTAATAAGAAGTTGCAGTTGTTGTACAAGGTAATCACCTCCATATTTTAAGAGTTCATTTGGCATTTGACCTTCTCCTGGTTTGACCTTCTCCTGGTGACTTTCTGTTTTTTAATTTGTTTATTCCTTCTTTCACATCGTTTTGGGAGATTTCGGTCTTTTCCTCAGTTATTATATTTGGCGTTTCTGGAAAAGGTTCTACGTTTTGTTTTTTAAACATTTCTGTCAGGAAGGCCACCCATGTATCCTCTTGTATGTGTTCTATTTCAACTAATTCTTTCATTTCGCTTCTTTGTTGTCTTATGAATCGCCATACTTGTTTCTGTTGTCCATAGAAATCTATTTTTGTTGTATGTCCTTATCTAGATCTATAATAATTGTTTCTTTAAGCAACTTATCTGTATCTACATAAGATCTTTCCATCTTTAGAACATGGGCTACACTATTTTTCCAGCTGTCATTGGCTATTTTCTTCAGAGTTCTAATTCAATTAGACAAACCACAGATGCATTTAGGGTAGACGAAACATTACTTCTCCTTACCCTACCCATGCTATATAGGTTTAATCGGATTAAACATGAAGTAGTAAGGAGGAAGTCATAATACTGTATGAACCATTTCTTTCGCCAAACTGTCACAATAATGTTGTTTTCTGATGGAAAATGATTTTAAAGTTTCAAGTAATTGTTTTTTAGAATAATCTTCATAATATATATTATTTCCCAGCATATATTCCTGGATTCTAAGTTTGGTGTCATTCTTATCAAACGCCAGATTCGTTTCTTAATTGTTATTAATAAAGCCTCTGTGATTAAAACAAATTATGCTAACTCGGCCGTAGAAAACTCTTTGTTTTTAATCTTCGTCTCGAAGCCAGCTACAATGATCTGCAAATTAGAAAGTTGTAGGGTAAATAGTTGTAGGGGCGCTGCAGCTCTAAATGTTTTTTTTTCTGTAATATGGCTTTGGCAAAGCCAATTAGCCAGACTTGTTTGTTTTTATTGTTAAAATCGACTGAATTTTAACTATTAGTGATTGCAGATTCATAGTCAAAATTTTCTTGTTATAAGTTATCAATGTTAGTACTACATATATCTACCTAATATTTATACATAAATTATATTTTGATATATATTTTTTTTGTTTCTTTTGTTTATTCTTTTATTATCTTCTTTTTTTTGTTTTGTTTTCTTTTTTTGTTTTGTTGTTTTTTTTTTGTTTTTTTTTGTTTTTTTTTTCAAACCATACAGATTATGCCTATATTATACTATTTATATCTTGTATTTACACATTTTAACATGTTTGTAAATGCAATGAAGAATTTCCATATTATTTGAAAATATTAATAGATTAAGGTTTATTGGAAAACAACACTTAGAATTTATTAATTCCTTATAAAGTTCGTTTATATTATTAATTTGTAAATCACATTCTAATATAATATGTGTTAGATCGCCTATTTTGCCACAAGTACAATTGGGAATATTTGATATGCCGATTCCATGCATGTAAGATGGCGTAAGAGCATGATTTGCTCGCAGCCGATTAATGGTCTTTATAAAATGTCGATTAGATTCTGTGTAGAACCATCTTCTTGAGGGTATCCTAGTGTTACAATGATAAAAATTTAAGCCAGTCTTACATTCTGTGTAATGTAAATGCCAATTATTTTTAATTTTTTGTCTACTAACGGTGTCAATATCTGTCGCTGGAATTAAATTTTTGTTTACTTTTACTCCAAGCATATATGCCGATTTAGCCAAATTGTCAACGATCTCATTGCCTTTTATTCCCGAATGGCCCTTGATCCATGTAATTATTACATTTAATCCTAATTGTATAGTTTCATAAAGAATTTTAAGAATTTTCAGTTCAATGTGGTTTATGTGTTTGACTGTTTGTATGTTGTTAAATCTGTCTACCACGCTTTTACTGTCAGTAAATATAACATAGTTGCTAGTAGGATTTGGTACTACATACTGAAGAGCAAACAATATTGGCATCATTTCTGCTGTATATATTGAGCATTCACTGGGTAAGCCATACTGATGATGGCAATTTTTATTTTCGTGGAGCATTGCACAGCCCGTTCCATTTGCATCTTTTGACCCATCAGTAAAAATGTACTGATAATTTGTCCATTTTTCTTTAATAATTATATCAAACATGTTTGGGAGTAAATGTGAGTTTAAGTAACATATCCTAACTTTTCTAGAAAATAGTGTTTTGGCCATTTCACCATAGTAGGGCGGAATTTGACTTTTATAGAGAATATCGTTGTATTTTACAATACTTACATAGCTTTCTACCAAAGGTATAGATTTTTTAGTTCTCCAGTACCTATGGGTAAGGCCTAAAACTGATAGCTCATTAAGATCTTGAAGGTATTTACAATTTTTGGACATAATTCGGACTGTTAATTTGTCGCTAAGGAATTGGCGGCGTAAATGCAATGGAGGTTCCACCGCTTCATTTTCCATTATTTGGACTGGAGTGGATTTTAAATAACCTAGGCATAATCTCAGGCATTTATTTTTTTGAACTTCAAGTTTGTTTAGATGTGTATTGGCCGCTGATCCAAATAAATGGCAGTTATAGTCGAAAATCGGCCTAATCATGTTAAGGTAAAACATCAAAGCAATATTTGGGTCTGTTCTCCAATTTGTTTTACAGAAAGCTCTTAAAATGTTTATTGAGTTTTCCGATTTTTTAACAATTTGATGAATGTGATCTTTCCATAACAATTTCCTGTCTAGATACATACCAAGATACTTAATACAGTTTTTTATAGGGAAATTAAATTTTCCCACATTAAGATTGCCTTGTGGAACTCTATGTTTTTGTGAAAAATAGCACACTTCAGTTTTTGTGTCAGAAATTGATAATCCTATTTCTTTATAGTACTGATTTACGATTTCTAATGTGACTTTTAAATTCTCCTCACAGGTACTTAACAATTTTCCTGCTGTATATAAAACAACATCATCAGCATATTGAAGAATATTTGTATGGTTGGGTATACTAACTTCAAGATCTATGTTATACAGGATATATAAAATCGGGCTTAAAATACTCCCCTGTGGCAATCCAATGTTAGTTGGTCGGGGGTATGAAAATTCCTCATTATTAATTTTTAAAAAAGTTAGTTTGTTAGAATATAAAGATTTTAAAAAGAGAGCAAATGATCTAGGGATTCCGATATACATTTTTTGGTAAAGACTCTAAATGTTTATAACTGCAATTTTACAACTTCATAGATAATTGTTTTTAACGGGTTAATTTTTTTTTTCATTATTTTCCGGTAAATTATGAAAATATACAGCTTTAGTAAGAGAATAAAAGGAGAATTAGCCCTCTACTATTAGCCTTTTTTTTAACCCTATGAGCATTCAAAATTGAATGTAATTTATAAACTAATTATCGCATCTCAGCAACAAATTAGTGCAATTTGCAATATTGCAAATTTTAAGGTCTTTTTGAGCACTTTCATAATCTATACAGAAATTACCCATTACAACACTTTGGGCAAAAAATGGAAAAAACTCAAAAAATACGTATTTTGCACCTATAAACGCTCATAAATAAACAATAACCTAAAAATGTTTGTTAAATGAACTGGGGGATTGCTCCTGAGGTTGCCCTTTATAACCTAAGCCACATTACACAAAATCCTGGATTAGAGAGTACTTTTTCCCCCACAGCCTGGGCTATTTTATACTACACAATATTTTAGGTAACTTTCTGAACTCAATATTATTACAGTTTCTCACAAATTTTAATTCAATGATAATTACTTGTTTTAATAATTGATATAATATTCTAAATACGTGAATCCCATATGTTTTATATACTATGCATATAGGCTGCTCTGTGTATCATCTAGTTAGTTTTTGTTTATTTTTTTTAGCACAAAGATGGTCTTCAACATATGTGGGTGCCGATTACGTTATCTGGGCTATTTGCATACTTTGTAGCACACTGTTTCATGACTGTTTACGAGGTAATGTATAATAAAAAACAGAATATTTACAATTTACCTATATAGTCATTAAAAGGACTAGTGAGAGAAAGGTCCAATTCACATTTGCTAAATATGACATATTTTAAAATACGAAATCGAGTTTCATACATAGCGTTTCCTAAATTGAATAATTCTCTTCCTTTTTCAGTTTTTCACTGTTTGCTAATAATAAAATGTAATTTAAGTAATAAAATAATTATATTGCAACAAATAAAAAAAAAACAGAATCAAACAGTTATTATTTAACGAGAATAAAACCGAATTTTTTAAAACATCTTGTCGTGGTTGTATCTCAATATTTTAGTACATTTGGGCGGTAATGGAAATGTGTTTACTATGTCAGTAAAAAGAGTTGCAAGGACAAATAAGCAAACAGTTACAATTGATAGAGAAAAGATGTTAAATGATACTGTAAAATAAGAAATAACTAGTATATTAGAACAAAAAATGAAGTTAACATAAAGCAAAGAGGAAAGTACTGAGGAAAACTGGACTGGAGAATTAAAGAGATATTAAATTGAGTGCGCTAAAAGCAAGAAAAAAACAAGGGTGGATGACAGAAGAAATACTGAGACAACTTATGGATCAAAGAAGAAAAGTCAGAAATAAAGATAAAAACAAGAGGATCCACGCAATAATCAGGCAGAAGATAAGACACGCAAAAACACAATTTCATAGTAAAGAATGTAATAAAATTGAACAATATGAAAAGGAACACGATACATTTTATCTGCACAAGAAATTAAAAGAGGTCGCTGAAAACAAACGGAAACAAGTATCCCAAAGTTTAGAAGATAGAAACGGACACAGAATATTAGACATCAATGAACAGTTAACAGGATGGGAAAACTACATTTCTGAATTATTTGAAGATGGAAGAGTAGAACACTATACACCCATTGCTTTATCAGGTCCATCTATAACAGAAAGTGAGGTTACACGTTCAATACAAACGGCAGAAAATGGAAAAGCACTTGGTCCCGATGAAGTAAGTGCTGAAATACTAACGTTTTTGGGAGAAAATCGAATTAAAGCTCTGTGTAATCTCTTTAACAGAATTTATGACACTGGGATATTACCAACTGATTGGTTAAAGTCGACATTTGTCACAATGCCTAAAAAACATCATCCAAAGACATGCGGTGATTATCGGACAATAAGTCTGATGAGACACGTTTTGAAGATCTTATGAACAAAATAATGAACAAAATAAAACAGACTTGTGACAGAGCAGAGACACTCTTGTTTCGGTACTCGGGAGCTAGTGTTGCACAAATGCATGAACAAGACGAGACTTAGACAGTCTTGGTCTTGGTCTTGCACCAATATACCTGGTCTTGGTCTTGGTCTTGGTATTGCGCTCCCAGTCTTGGTCTTGGTCTTTTTCTTGCAGCAAGAGTCTTGCAAGTCTCGCAAATACCCATTAGCCTATTGCTATTCATTAAACGTTACTTTAGATCTTGGAACAACGTAATAGAGTAGGTACATTTTAAGCTTGAATTAACATAGCTATAAAAAGACCAACCATATTAATAAATGTCTAAACAACTGACACTGGGTGGGGTTTTAAACCACGATCTAAGCGATCCGTGCCTATGCTCTAACTAACTGAGCTATCTACCATGTCCCACGGGAATCAATCTGTTAATAAACGTTTGCTTTTAACAATCTTACATATGCACAAACATGGTTAAAAAACAAAACAACCAAACTAATGACATAAACTTGATTGTATTTTAAAGAACATTATTTGTCTATAAAGGGATTGATGAACCTTCACCGTATATGAAATGGAATAAAATAGTTATATAATTTGCCATTCATTTAAATAAGAAATAAAATACAACAGTACACAATAGACTTTTACATTACTGATATTTTATATTAATTCCTTTGGCCAAGAATTAATACAAAGTAACCATCTGGCTGACTCATCACTTAACCTATTTCTATGTTTTCTAATTACTAACGATGCTTTAGAAAATAATCTCTCAGCAGGTACTGAAGTTGCAGGTATTGAAAAAAAATCACGGGCCATCTTCGATAAAGTCGGATATTCTGTCTCATGCGTCCTCCACTCTAAAATGTCTTCCGAGCTGGCGGCTCTGGGTTTACTTAGGTACTCCTCCAACTCGTCAATAACTAACCCTTGATGACAAGATCCAGATGAAGTCGAGAAGCATTCATACAGTTTCTCAAAGTCTATTAAGTCTTCATCTTCATCATATTCAGATACTTTCTTTTCATTTCTTGGTGATTCTAGAGATTCATTCACTGAGTGTAGAGTTTTATATTCTTTATAAAGTTCATTAAATTTTCGCAGACTTTCTGTTTTGATTTGCTTCCCTCATAATGTCATGGTAAAAGTATAAGCCTTATGCCTTGCGTCTAAAATTAAAGAGATACAATAAATCCAGTTGCTCTTCTTATAATGTTTAAGCATTTTGTCTCGAGCTGCTTGAAAACCAATAATGAGCCTTTTGTCCACTTCAGATCGATTAGGTTTCTCATCTTATTGTTGTACCATGGATTCAATTTTATCGAGCAAGAGATTGAATAATACAATCACTAGTGGTAATGTAACATATTTTTCTGCACCAAGTTTCGTTGACAAAAGTTTAAAGTTTATTAGAAATTTAAAGTTTAAATGTACTTGTGTGATAAGTATATTTTTTCTTACCTGTCCAATTTTTTCAGCGGTTATTAAAAAGCTTGCGATATCTCCACTTAATTTTGGTTTTTCAGGAATATATATTTGTGATTCCTTTTTGTGGAAAGATATTAGATACTTCTTAAACCTGAAGTGTTTCTGTTCTTCATTTTTATTTCAACCTTTCTATGTTGGCACAATTTACACAAAGCAATTTGGGATGCACGACTTATTTCGAAAAACTCATCAAATTTGCTTTTAGGTCTTTTAGATCTATGACTCCAACTCTCATTACTCCGACTAGAACTATTTGAATCACTCATGTCAAATTCGTCACTCATGTCAAATTGTAAACTTCTCACTGATCACCGAGAACAACAAAGATTAGATAAAAAACAATTATTGCATTATACTCGAAGGAAAGCTTGATTGAGAATGAAGTTTAGTGATGTCGAAAAAGTAACTATTCGTTACTTTATACTCGTTACTATCCGATACCCTAAGTACCGAATAAAAAACCGAGAATTATTATCGTTACTTCGTTACTTTAAATATATGGGTATTTTGTTTATACTGTATGCGGCTTTATCTCTTTGTTTGTTTATCTCGTTACTTTTCAATATTATCCGCATTTTTTCAGCAAATTTTGAATGATATCATCGCATACTCAGCAGAAAAGATATAGTCTTAGGCCGTTAAGATTTGTGGTATTTAAATTCCTCGTAATTAAATTATAAGGAAAAAATATGCTAACCTTATATTTTTTATCAGCTAAGGTGACACATTTTTAAAAAGTTTCGATACAATATTACTGTCGGCGTCGCAAAGCAAAGACATTATTTTATTATTAGAAGGAGATTGAGCATTCTCAAAATGTGGACAATTAATTTCTGAGCGAAGAAGTAGTGTGCTGGGGAAGAATGTACAAAATATTTTATTTTTAGATTGTAACTATCGAATATTCAATCGATAATTAAATTTTTAACGAACTTTTTTTGTAGATGGTGATCGACACGATATTCTTGTGTTTCTGCGAAGACTGTGAGCAAAACGATGGGGAATCGAAACCATACTTTATGTCCAGGGGATTAATGGAGTTTGTCGAGAATTCCAAAAAGGCTTTAGATATTTACGACTCCAGAGCAAAATCTTCAGCAACTGAACTAAAAAGTGTTCCAACTATCAGTGGCGATGTTACAAGAAATTTTTCGGGCTAAAAGTATTTGTATTATAGAATACTTATCAAAATAACTTACCCAAATTATATTTATAAAAATAAGAATACTTATTGTCATTACTAGGTGTCTTGATATTAGGTTATAGTTCACTAAAATATATCTGATTTTTTTTTAAATATTGTTCTAAAGCTATTTTCTTGTGATATTTGAATATTATTTTTTATCTTTATTGGGCATAAATCCATGATTGATTTTATAGTCAGTAATAGAAAAATCTACCCAAAGCAAATTCTAGAAAAAAAGAAATAGACAACATCGAAGATATAAACGCGAGCTGAAAGAAAATTAAAACAACATTAAAGAAGCAGCAATAGAAGCTCTAGGAAAACGCAAAGATATACTGAATAAAAGAAACAACAACAGTCCGCCATAGTTCATCATCATCATCAATAGTGCTACAGCCCTATGAAAGAGCCTCGACCTTCCCAAGTCTATTATGCCAGGCAGTCCTATCCAAACCGTTGCCAGTTTGCTGCGCCTATCTTTCTACCATCCTCATCTACACCATCCTTTCATCTGAGTTTTGGCCTACCCCTTTTTCTGCTTCCCACGGGTTGTGACATATGGATTCTTCTAGAAGGGTTGTTCTGCTGTGATCTTGCTAGATGTCCTGCCCATCTTAGTCTTCCTATTGTTATAAGAGATACTACGTCTTTACCACCAAATATTTGTTTATATCTGTGGTATACCTCGTATATATACCACCTGGGGGTATACGAGTATACCTCCAAACACCATTTTCACAGATCACCAAATATTCCTCTCAGGATCCTTCGTTCAAATAAAAGCAGAAGGTCTTCGTCTGCCTTGGGTCCATGTCTCCGATCCATATGTCAACACTGGCTGTATAAGGGTTTTGTATATGGTTATTTTAGTGTTTTGGCTTAAGTTTCTACTTCTAATATGTCTACTCAGTCCAAAATAGTATCTGTTTGCCATTATTATCCTTCGCTTGATTTCTTCCGTTATGGCGTTCTCTTTGGTGATCAGGGAGCCTAAGTATGTGAATTTGTCCACCACTTCAAAGGTAGAGTTATCAACCGTGAATTGGGGACCGATGTTCCTGGCTCTATTGTTGGGTGTTGATGCCACCATCTTAGTTTTCTCCTGATTTCTTGCAGGCCCATAGATTTTGAGGCATTTGAGAAGGTGGTATACATTTCTTCTAGCTTGCGTATTGTGCAGGCAACTAGGTCCACATCATCTGCATATGCCAAAATTTGGGATGATTCCACCATGGTTCAGAAAAGAAATAAAAGAGAAATGTACAGAGAAACAAGAGGCCTACACGAAGTACAAAACATCAAATACCCCAGAATCCCGAGACAACTATAGTAGAATACGAAATGAAACAAAGCAGTTGATAAGAAGAACAAAAAATGAACACTGGGAACAGTTTACAAAAAGGTGGAAAGCGTCTTTTACGGTACACAAAAACAAATATGGAGATTTATAAAAAATCAACGGAAAGAAATGGCAGAATTGAAGGAATACAATTACATACCAGTAAACGAATAGGAAAGATACCTTACGGAACTGTTTAAAGCAGAAGAAAATAATAATCAACACAATAATGCACCTGAATTAAGACACGAAATAGATCAGTTTTCAGAAAGTAGAAATAGCCATAAATTCGCTCAAAAATAGAAAGTCGCCAGGACCAGACGGAATAACCAACGAGCTTCTAAAATACGGAGGAGAAAGTATAATCCTAGAGATGAAAAAACTTATACAAAAACTAATATTGCACTGCAAGATACCAGATGCTTTGAGAAACATATAATGATACCAATGTTCAAGAAAGGAGATAAAGAAGACTCCAACAATTATAGAGGTATAAATCTACTGAATACCGCACTTAAGCTTACCACAAAAGTCCTAACCAATAAAATCAATAAACTAACTACTTTATCAGATAAACAACATCGTGCGTAGACGCCGTATTTGTACTAAGGCAAATCACAGAAAATGGCATCGAGTACAATAAACCAGCGTATCTATGTTTTATAGACCTGACAAAGGCTTTCGATCGCATCCGAGTTGAAGACGTCTTACACCCACTGTATAAAAGAAACATACCAATCAATATTATACAGACTATTGAAAACATCTACCTCCATAATCGAATACAGGCAAAGATCAATGGAAAACTAACACAGCGTATACCAGTACAAAGCGGAGTTAGACAGGGTGACTCGTTGAGCCCACTTCTCTTTAATATAATAATGGACGAAATAATACAAGCAGTACGTAAAGGTCATAGCTACAGAATAAGAAACAAAGAAATCCAAATATTATGTTAAGCAGACGATGGCCGCATTAATCGCCGAGACAGAAGAAAGATTAACACATATCTTCAATATAAAAGCTAAGAAATACAATATGATAATATCAGCAGAAAAAACCAAATGTATGACAACATCTAAATACCCACTCCGGTATAAAATCGAAAATGATGGGAAAATAATAAAGCAAGAAGCAAGGTTTACAAATCTGGGAATAGATATACCTAGTTACGTAGATGTTGAAGAAGAAATACGACAACGAAGCTTAAAAGCCAGTAAAGCGGAGGGTTCTCTTAATGACACAATCTGGAAGAACAAACATCCAAGACACGACACAAAAACAAAAATCTATAAAGCAGCAATTAGATTATTATATACATACATACTATATTAACATACACGGCGGAGACAAGACCTGACACATCTAAAACGATACGACTTCTAGAAACAACTGAGATGAAAATACTCCGATGAATATTAGGGAGAAGTCTGTTGGATAAGGAGAGAAGCGAAAACATAAGAAGAGCATGCAATATAGAAGACATAAATGGATGGGTGACAAAACAAAAACAGGAGTGGAACGAACACATTAGTAGAATGGCAGAGGATAGAATAATACGAATAACACGAGATAAGTCACCAAATGGACGAAGAAGTATTGGCAGACCAAGAAAAAGGTGGTGCGACAATTTAAACAATTTAGTAGGCTAATATTGAAGAAAAAACAGTCTTTAAAGCCTACATACTAGAAGGAAGAAGATCTTTAATGGGAATTAATTAAAATTTCTGTTGGAAATATGTTTATTGTGACATTTTGATGTCCACGTCGGAAATCGTTGTCAAAATACAAATTAAACAAATCTTAGACTGTAACGATTATTTTCCCTATCACATAGGGTATTACTATAAGGGGCTGAAAATTGGGACGGGGCTGGAGATAGAGCAAGCAAAATAAACCGAAACTTTTGCGAGCGGTTACTCAGGGTTTATTTGAGAACTGGGCCGTGGATAAGTGAACGACAAGGGCCTGGATTGGGGTAACTACAAAAATTAAATAAAAAAGTATACTTACATGAATCTTCTGGACAAACACAATACAAGAAGGTTCTCAAGCTATTTAAAATGGGCTCCGCAGGATCTTGTTGTCTAGGGTTTAATAATTAAAGGCCACAGGACGATTCGAAATTAGAACAAACACTTTATTATTTAACTCCAAAATTACAGCAAAATACAACTAACGTAAACAGTTACTATTATCTAACATAAAATAGGACCGCGGTTTAATAGCAATAATATGAATACGTCTTCCTTCGTACGTCGTTTAGAGATGAGATGCCGTCTTATGCATATCAACTGTATACTCGACCCCCCTTCGATCTACTATATAGGTACAGTGTTTTATTGTTTATTCGGCAATGTTACTTAACTCTGAAATTCGGCTCGCGGTTCATGATAATTGAAGTTATTGGCAACGGAAATAATTTTTGTAATAAGTTTGATGATGAATACAATTCTACAATAGTTAAAAAAATAAATACAAAATAACAGAGAAAGATACTTACTATGTTTTATCCGTTTACAAACTCTAGAAGTTGGAGATACTACAAAACTTACAATTGTTCCTGGGCGATAATTGGTAGCAGAAATAAATTATTACAAATGAAAAAATATCTTTTTAAGTGAAGCTATGCGTAGAGGTTAATCTTTATTAAAAAACAAAAACAACCTAATGTAAAAAAATAAAACTAGCTGTCAGATGTCAATTTTTTTTTGAACCTATTCTCTATCCTTCCATTGTTGGATATAGGTCTCCCCCAGTTCTCTCCATCTTTCCCTATCTTGAGCTGTTCTCTGCCATGTGGGACCTCCTTGTTTCCTGATGCCATCTTTCCACCTCATCTGTGGTCTGCCTCTTGATCTCTTTGCATTGTATGGACGCCACTTTCCGATGGCATTGTTCCATCGTCCGTCTTGGAAACGTTCATTGTGTCCAGCCCATTTCCATTTCAGTTTTGCTGCTTGTTCTATCGCGTCTACTGTCTTTGTTCTGGTTCTGATCCACTGGTTACGTTTTCTATCTTTAAGTGATATACCCAACATTTGTCTCTCCATCGCTCCTTGTGCCTTCCTTATCCTATCCAAATTGGCCTGTGTAAATGTCCATGTCTGTGCTCCGTAGGTGAGCACCGGTATTATACAGGAGTTATATACTTTGCTTCGTAAGTATAGAGAGATTGTTTGATTCTTTAGAACGTAAGAAAGTTTGCCGAACGCTGCCCATCCCATTCTTACCCGTCTCGATATTTCGGCCGTTTGATTTTCTCTGTTAGCTCTGATTGCTTGTCCTAGATAGATATACTCATTTACCTGTTCTATTTTTTCTGTTTGTATTTTTATTGCCTCGTGGTCATCCGTGTTTGTAAATACTTTTGTTTTGTTAAAGTTCATTTTTAGGCCTTTTTGCAGTGATTTTTCATGAAGTTCATTCAGCATTAATTCCAGTTCTTGTCGTTCCGAGGAGATCAGAAGTATATCATCCGCATATCTAAGGTGACTAAGGTATTTTCCGTTAATACATATTCCTCTGTTTTCCCAATCTGTTCATTTTATTATGTCTTCGAGGGTCAAGGTAAACAGTTTAGGTGAAATTATATCGCCTTGTCGGACTCCTCGTTTAATTTTTATATTATCCGT